GCTAGAGGTGGCTGAGTTGGTAACAGTGGCTGAGGGTGTAATGGTCGCTGTAGTTGCGAGGGGTGGGTGGTGGTGTGCTCGGAGAGAGGGAAAGAGTGTTTCCCGGGGAGAGACAAGGAAAAAATAGAGAGAGAGATCACATGAGGGATTAAAAAGTCGCCACATGTCGCCACCCTAATGGTCCGTGATGGAGAAATATCTCTAATTGTAAAATTACCAAAATGGCCATATTGTTCCGAATACTGTAAAATCTTTGTTTTAGCTCCAAATTCAATTTCGCTTACACCCACGCATCCGTAACGACGAGTAATACACTCAACAAAATCAAGGATGGTAGCTGACTAGCACTCACAATAAGGCATTGAAAAAAAAGTTCAAAACTGACCCTTGAAAACTGATGTAGTTAGAAGTGCCACACTAGTTCATAATCTAGGAGCGCATGACATCGATTGGATGACAACCGCATGCAAATCTCAGCAGTAGGAACTGGGCTAGCTATGCACCTGCCCCCAGTGAATTCATTGACCCCTGTTGCTGACGCGTGGGCTCGCCACTCCCCCTTTCACGTGTTGCTAGGCCCCCAAACTCAAATTCCTATTTTTTCCACCCCAAAACATCTCTTGAGGCCAGTTTGGGATTGATGCACTTTTTTTTGAAAAAAATTTTGTGATGTGTTTTTCAAAAAATCAGTTGTGAAATAAAGCAGATAAGCGTTTGGTAAACTGTATTTTTAAAACTGTTGTGAGTATGAAACATATTATAAAAAGTGTTTGGTAAATAGTAATATAAAAATTGTATTTTGTATAATGACAAAAATAGGCATGATGTCAAATTTGAAAAAAAAAATATAAACCAATAAATTTTTAAGAGTAATATCAAAGATGACAAGAAATAACATGATTGTTGCTCTGTTATGTTTTTACCGAACTACTATGTTACATATTGCTAGAGTGCCCAAACATACAAGCAACAATATAGCTAAAGAGTATTGCACAATCAAAGTATAAAAAAACATATGTTGCTAGAACTTTCCTCCCAACTTGACACTAATAAATTAAAATGATTAGCATCATTAGAATTAATAAATAAATATGTATCAAACCTATGAGTTATTTTATAGAACAAACATCACCACTAAAGGGAAATAGCACACCAACAAGAAAAATGAATTCTTTAGAAAGAAAACCATAAAATCCAAAACTAGAGTTCGCCTTCAAAGAGTTCAAAGAGATGAATTTGAGGCTGTGCAAAAAGCTCACAGATTAGGCTAGGGTTTGTTATTTATATATATATATTGTATATATAATAGCGTGTAAAAAATAGGGCAGATGAAGCCATTTAGAAAAATAAAAGGAGCATTGTAGGTATAGAGAAACTAATTTTAATCCTTCCGCGTTTTATATTTTGCTTTTTTTTTTTTAAGTGGCTTTTAAAAGCAACCTAATAGTAGCTTTTAAAAGTTACCGTGAAAAGGCTTAAATTTTAAAAATAAGCAGGTCTATAAATATTTACCAAACAGATTTTTGGTTCTTCACTTGAAGCAAATTTGGGAAAGAAAAAAAAAAAAGCAATCTCAAACAGAGCTTTAAACAAACTCCAGTGGTTGGGGGTTAAAAGCTAAATTTTCGAGAAATAATAAAAAATCACTAAACTTACTTCATTCTGTTATATTTAATGAAAGTATAAATAAACTCTAAGTGTTAGTAAATCTATCGTTTTAATGGGATACGCATTCTACGAAACTAATTTCAACGATCCAACCATCAAACTTGGTTTGTATATGCTTCAAGATCGCATATGCCAAAAATCACAAAGAACAAACATTCAAATATCAAGTAACAGAACAAAACTTTTCGACAGTTATCAATGAAAAATCACGATTTAATGGTTATTTTAACTTTTATTTTGATGATTTTTTTTACAGCTACACTCTTTGACCCTATATAAATATAATGAATGAATTCAATCTTCAATTTAAAATATTTACACTAGTGGATACCACAAAATCTTATGTCATGATGATCGATGAAAATTGAGGATTTTGTAAAAAGAATAATATGCAAGCTTTGAGTTCCATTGACAAGGTTTAAACTTTTAAGAAAGGCTTCACAACCTGAAAACAAAAACTCTTTCATTTTGCATATCCTTGCACGTTTATTTTGCACATTTAATATTTTGTAATAGACCAGTAGTGTATGGATGTTTGTTTATTAGACTCTTATTTTCGAGTCTAGATGTAGTACTTAAACGACAAATGTATTTTAATGTTTTGAAATAATATTTATGTGGCAATATGTGATATGTGTAAATTTAAGAAAAAAATATATTTTTCTTAACGGGTGTGATACGATATGATCTGTTAAGATAACATGTGTTACACGAAAACAACACGAACACGACAGACATGACCCGTTTGTCAGGCCTAGTCTGGAAGATGATTTGGACTCAAAATTTGAATTTTTTTTTTTTTTTCACCCCAGTTGAAGACAGCCTTAGCGATGATTTGGACCCAAAATGTGAGTTTTTTTTCCACCCTTGTTGGAGACAGCCTAAGGCAACCTATCATGCTCTTTTATCTTTACTTGTGGGATTGGTATTTGCTAACTTAAATATTAAAAGATAAATTAGTACAATATAATAGGACATAAGGAGTGAGAAAAATGAATTATCTAGTGCCAATATCACATTACATTATCCGGTCGATTCGACCACACAAGAAAGAGATGATCCTTTTGAGGCTTTGACAAACACAAGCCCTACTAATGCTCGTTGCTCCCCCAGTTGTCATGCTTGCCTTTTTACATAAACTATTTCTACAAGATAATACTAAGACGATTAAATTTATAGACAAAATTTGTAAATTAAATAATTTGTCATTAATATAAATGAGCATGTTTATCAACACTTAAGTAATAACACAATTATTAACTTCTATATCATTTAGTTTATAAAATTTAATCTTCCTAGCATTACCCATTTTTATAAGGGTAATGCTAGGTTGATTAAATTTTTAGATAAAATTTACAAACTAAATGATGTGTCACCAATAAAATTTACAAACTTACATATTTTCCCTGCATATTTAATTATTTAGCATTATTCCTTTTATAATTTAATCACAAACTTTTAATTATTTAATTATATAAAGAAACATCTACTCTATAATATATTTTTTTTGGCATTAAAAAAGTAAAGTAAACAAAACTGGGGAAAAGGGAAAAATGTGATGTGCCAGATAAGGTCGGGGCAGTGGGGACTACACCCCTAAGTTTGACAAGCAAATTAATGATATAGGCTTGTTGCGTTTTCGACTTCTTATTGGCTGGAGGCCTGCCTAGTCGTACGGACGATGTTGATGTATTGCTAACATTGTACTATCTTTGCCGGTTTTAACTCTGCCCCTCCCATATTTTATTGTGTTTTTTTTTTTTGGCTCTTTTTCTTTGCTTTGTGTTATGGGTGCCATTCTGTAGTTTATTGTCCATCACAAGAAACAAAATAAAAATCAATGCATTAATAACAACAATGAGAAAATTAATATAAAAATATAATGTGCAGGTGGTGGATGATGTTCAGGATAAATCTACGTTGACGAGATGAAAGATTTTATACGTGTTTGTAAGTAATTAAGTTATTTCTTATATTATTAATTGATTTTATGATGAAATTTCAACTTTCTTCCTCGAAGGTTAGTATTTTTTTTAATCTACTGCGTTTAACATCAAATTATTCCTCTCCTCGCACTGCAGGAACAATACATAATAAACAACGATAACATTAATATAAAAAGCGTACCAACCCAGAAACTCAGTACACTCTCATATTTGTACATCTCACTCTTTGGTTTTTCTTTTGAGAACTTTCATCAAACAGGTAGTTTTAAGTTCCTTGCTTTCTCATAGTACTTGCCCTTTGTGTCCAGAATTTATTTTTCTTGTGTGTTTTGTGGGTTTACCAAAACAAGCAAAGATGAGGCATTTTTGCATACAACCTTTGATTTTTATATTATTATAGTATATTTTACGTTTCTTTTTCAAGGTGGGGTCTTAAGGAAAGAAAAAAAAGAGAAAAAAAGGTGGGTGTGTTAGTTGCCTCAGCTTACACCAGGCTAAGGGTCAATCATCAATCTCCACCCTCCCTGTTTCTCTATAATTTCCTTTCTTTCTGGGTTTTTTAGTCTCCCCCATCACTCTCCCTCTCTCTCTCTCTCTCTCTCTCTCTCTCTCTCTCCTCTTTTTTTCTTTCTTTCTTTGGCATCTTGTTCTTCTCATATTTGTCCATAGCTTCTTCTGGGTTAGTTTGCATATTTGGTAAATTCGCTCAGTACCCTCTTCCACTACTCTGAAGAAGATCTTCTCTTTTTCTTTGAATCAATCATTCACAAAACACCCACCTCCTCGACCTCCTCCTCCTCCCTCTCTCTCTCTCTCTCTCTCTCTCTCTCTCTCTCTCTCTCTCTCTATATATATATATATATATGCGCAAATACATGTGCTATTTTTGGGGTGTAGTCCAAGTCCTTGCTCAAAAACTTAAGAGAAAAGAGCTCTCGCTTTCCACTTTTGGCTATTTGGTGATAATTTCGTAAGACTTACTTATTCCCTTAGACTCTCTCTCTCTCTCTCATCCACTTTTTCTTGTTTGTTTTTGTTTACTCTTCATTTTAATTTATGCACTCTTCGTTTGCTTACACAAATTATATCTATATGTATATATATTGATTGCTTGCCAACCCTTTTGAACTGAACAGGATCTATTCCCTTCCACCTGATCTATACCATCATTCCAACTCACAAAAAGAAATAAGCTTTTTGGGTTAATTTTGCTTATTTGGTAAGATTTAATTATCTTCTTCTTCTTTTCGTTATTTTCATATACGTATATATCTCTTTTGTACACATTGGGATTTTTTCAAGTTTTTGTCTGATGATTTCTGCAGAGACAAAAAAAAATAATAATAATAACGAACTGATCTCAGAGCCTTCATTTTCTTTGTCAAAGGGGTGGAAGGAAATTAATTAAAAATTAAATCATCAAAAATGGTGAGAGGGAAAACTCAGATGAGGCGCATAGAGAACACGACGAGTCGTCAGGTGACATTCTCAAAGAGGAGAAGTGGCTGCTAAAGAAGGCCTTTGAGCTCTCAGTTCTTTGCGATGCTGAGGTTTCCCTCATCATCTTCTCTCCCAGAGGAAAACTCTACGAATTTGCAAGTTCCAGGTATTTTTTATTTAATTTAATTTAATTTTTATAAACCCCACATAATTTTTATTTTCTATTTACATGAAAAAAATGCATAAAAAAATGTTCGTTTAATTTGCCAGAGAATTTGAATGTACTAGTAGATCCGCTGTTAAAATGAATATGGCATGCATATTATGATTGCCTGTACGAGCTTTCTTTGCACACAGTACCGTACGGTTGTATATATGGTTACATTTAGCAAGTCCTTTTTTACTTTTCATTCGGATTCTTTTTAAAACAAGTTGTATATTTATTTGTCTGAATAATTTATTTCAGTTAAAATTGACTATTTGAACTATTTTTTTTTAGTAAAAGTAACCTAGTGAACTATTTGAAATTTTCCAATCAATTGCTCACAGTCATATTTGATTAAATTTCATCCACTTTGCCGTAAAATACTAGTATGTGAATCACTCTTGAGGTAAAGTTGTGCCACTAGTTGACCTCAAAGTGAATTAAATTTCATCAATTTTGACACTGAGAGATTAATTTGTTGATTTCAAATAGTTAAGAGGCTTAAATGACAAAAGAATAATAATAATAATTTAGGAGGTAAATTTCAACTAGATTAATAATTCAGAGATCAAACGACAATTTACCCATTTATATTTGGGTAGCAGTCCTTGCATTACTATTTATAGTAAACTTTAATATATAGTCTGTAGCAGTTGCTCATTTGATCTGGTTACTTCCACTGAGTTTGGATAGCTACTGTTCATAATACCTTTTGAATTGTTTTGTTCTTTTGCATCTTCAGTAATCGAAGGCAGGAAAATATTAAAAAGAAGGGAAAGAATTAAGTCATTTAGGGTTAGTTCAAGAGTGAGGGTGAGTCGAGTGAAGAGCAAAGAGTAAACTAGAAATTCAGAGTTTGAAACTCTCTTTGTGCCAAAAAAAAAAAAGAGGTTCAAAAGAATTAATATTCATGGGTTAATCACAAGATCTGGGTTACAAAAGATTAACACTCAATAATTCATGGGTTAATCACAAAGTTAGGGTTAATTTCCATGACTTTTGAAATTATTTAGAGCATCTCTATTCACCTCAATCATCCTCTCTATTCACCTCCTAAGATACGGATCCATCTAGTAGCTCCTAAATATAAGGAATGAGAAATGAGCTATTAAATATAGGGAATGAGAAATGAGCTCTTAATGGAGAAATTTTTCAGTTTGCCATGAGCATGGCTCGGTATATCAAGTGTCATAATACAAATGGTTGAATTTTTTTTTCAAGTATCCAACCACTTATATTGTAACACTTTACATGTTTTTATTAATTTTTTTTTTAAATTTTAATGAAAGAAAGACAATTTTTAGGTATTATAAAAGTTTGACCATTTTTGCCTTCTCCCTTTACATATATAGATTATTGACTCATATGTATTGTGACACTTAACATGTTTTTATTTTAATTTTTTTTATGCCTTGTAAGTGTGTTTAAGTGTGAATTTTGTAAGTTTGTCCTTTGAAAATATGACTCATTGTTTAACTCTAATAGTTTAATTTCAAATACAAAGCAAAGCATAACTTTACAACAAACATAATTAATTAAAAATATAAGGCAAAAGAAGATGGTTAGATATTTACAAATTTTAATTTTTTTTTATGCCTTGTAAGTGTGTTTAAGTGTGAACTTTGTAAGTTTGTCCTTTGAAAATAAAACTCATTGTTTAACTCCAATAGTTTAATTTCAAACACAAAGCAAAGCATAACTTTACAACAAACATAATTAATTAAAAATATAAGGCAAATGAAGAAGATGGTTAGATATTTACAAATTTTATTTTTTTTTTTATGCCTTCTAAGTGTGTGAAGTGTGAACTTTGTAAGTTTGTCCTTTGAAAATAAAACTCATTGTTTAACTCAAATAGTTTAATTTCAAATACAAAGCAAAGCATAACTTTACAACAAACTTAATTAATTAAAAATATAGGGCAAATGAAGAAGATGGTTAGATATTTATAGAATAAAAATAAATAGAATAAAAATAAGGAAACATATTGGATGTGGTCTCTATTTATCAATGTTCTTTGGCTGAAATTTTGTTGGTTTTTAGTTTTTCATTGAAGTCCCTGAAAATAATGTAATAATGTAATTCTATGTACGTTATTATAATTTTTAAATTAAAAATTATAATTTGTAGTTGTTTATATTAATGAGATTTTAAATAAAACCCATGATTTGTGGGAGCGAAAATATTAAAAGATAAATTATACTCTACAATATATTATACATATATATAAATATGGGTACATTTATAAAAAATAACCAAAACATGGGTACATTCTTCAAAACCAAAATAATATATACTAGGTTCAATAACATTAGTAAAATTCTTTGATTAAATTTGACATAGATTCATTCTCAAATCAAAGAAAAAGAAGGTACCCATATAAGTTTAAAAGTTGGATTAGAAAAAAATAGAATGGATTTTGTATTAAAAAAAATGGGTACATTTTGTGTACATTTTACATATAACAAATTGGTATATTTAAGAATAGGTACATTTAAGACAAAAAATTTGAAATATTATATGAACGGGTACGTTTAAAATAAAAAAGTTGAAAAATATGTTTATAAAAAAGTAATGAGTACATAACTTATTTTAATTTGGAAATGCTTTGAATTAAAAAATAATTAGGAGCTTAGTAAAGGTATGAATATTAAAACCCCTAAATCAATAACTAATTTTTATTTTTAAAAATTATGTAACTGAATTATTAATATATTAATGATATGGACTCCGATGAAAATGAACTGATGGAAGTGGTTTTTTGGGGTATAGGTTAATTCCAAAGTTCTTGCCCAGCCTATTGGCTCGTGAGTGGACTTGCTCTAAAAGACATGTAGAATTGAATTGTGGTGTAAGAGGAAAAGGTTTATGAAGAATTAAAAGTGGAACATGCATGCTGGAGCATTCAATTTGCATATATTAATACATTATATATGCTAATATAAAGGGAAGATTGATCATATTTGGCATTGGTTATAAACTCAGCATGCAGGGAACCATAGAGCGTTATCAGAAGCATGCGAAAGACAATCAAACCAACGACAAATCCAGTTCCAGTGAACAAAATATGCAGGTACGTACCGTGCCTCGTTTTTGTACGTAAGTTCATCCCAGAAAGTGTTCACAATTGCGTGGACGAACTTATTGGAGTACTGTTTAGATCCATATCTTGGTCTTGTGATGAATTTTTGTTTAAATCGGAACATGCAGCATCTGAAGCAAGAAGCAACTAGCATGATGAAGCAGATAGAGCTTCTTGAAGTATCAAAACGGTTCATGGCCTTGTCTGAAACTTTTCTTTAATCTGAACTTGTCGTCGAAATATTCAGTTTTTTAATCCTTTTCAAAGGGCTTCTTTTTTTAAACGTGGAATTGCAAATTATGCCTCAGGAAACTCTTGGGAGAGGGTCTAGGATCATGCACTCTTGCAGAATTACAAGAAATAGAAGACCAGTTGGAGAAGAGCGTCTACAACGTCCGAGCCCGAAAGGTTTATCTGAGAAACTAAAATTATTTAAGCACCTGTAGATTCTGGCACTAGCAGTTTCTCTCATCTTTGATTAAATTGATATTTAACAAACTTTTTTTCTCTTTTCTAATTAATTCTACAGAGTCAGGTTTTCAAGGAACAGATTGAGCAACTGAGAGAAAAGGTAAAACTGCCACAACATAAAGTTCAAAAATAAAGAATTGCATGTCTGCTGTGCTACTGCTAGCTGACTAAATATTACAAAATGTGTAGCTGCAAAATAAGAAATCTACAAACAGTGCAGAAAAGTTAATTCCGACAAGAGGTAATGATTATGGTAGATAACTATGTAAGGCTTTTTTTTTTTGGATAAATTTCAGGAAAAACTCCTCACAGCTGAAAATACAAGACTGGTTGAGAAGGTAAACCAACCTCATCAAGTTATCATAATCTTCTTTCATATTAAATGTATATTGTAAATTTAGTAGTCACTGGTATTTTCTTATGTTGTACGGATAGGGATATGGGGACACGACATCTGGGAAAGTGGAAAGAAACTCATGTTTCTTGAAAGAAATTGAGTGATTGTTCCTTCTTGATTTTATTTACAAATTTAGAAAACCTAGCATTTATATATCATATATCATGTTAACATTATTCCAATGCTATGCGTTATTTTATAAATTTGGTAGTCACTTGTGAGACTTAACTGTTAGTTTTCATCGATAAAACTTGATGTCAATGGTTGAACGAAAAATGACAGTTCCACTTTTTCTTTGTAGTATGGTAGTTTCAAGAAAACATTGCACGAGCGAAGAGAAAAGACACCTTACAATGAAAGTAGTACAAGCTCGGATGTTGAGACTGAATTGTTCATTGGACTGCCGGAAAGTAGGGCGAGGCGCTAGCTTCCATCCTAGAGAGCCGACATTAATATAACCTAAAATCCATGAATGAGCAGATATATTCTTTCTGTAGTTTCAGATTGTTTTTTTGTCCTGCATTAGATTGTTGCTCCACTAAATTAACATTTCAGTGGAGCTCTGGAAGTAATCACAACTGTATTGTAAGAGGGATCATATTGTCTTCTTGGAAATGATTATGATGCATATATATGGACTGTTTGATTTTTGTTATATATATATCCTTATGTTTTATTGAAATTCTCTAATGTTCTTTTTAGGTGGTCCTTTTGTTGGGGCTTAAATAGACTTCACTACTTTGGAGATATTATCTCACAAAGAAGAATGTAATGTAGCGGAATTGATAGGCAAGAGAAAGAAAAAATACTCAAAGTATTATACAAGATTTTTATTCACTCACAAACTTAGTACAAGAGGAAACACTCAAATACTCTTAGAAGCTTTGTTGCTTCTTCTCACTTCTCACTACTTGCTCTCTTGATTGTTGCAAATGGTGTGGATGCCTTCTCCTTTTATAGGCATGGATGGAACCTTGGAGAAGCATGAAAGCATCATGCTAGAGATATCTAGATAATTCCACTACCTTCCTAAGCTAGAATTATGTATATTAATCTTGTATGTTGGTGGAATCCTCACCATTCTTCTAGACTCTTCCACCAACTTGAACTTTGCTAGAATTCTCTAGCATATGCATGGATCTTTCTTTGTGTATGGGCTGGATCAATTGTCTTGGGCCAAGACAAGATTACATTTCAACATCCCCCCTTAATCTTGTCTTGTGACGCCGATTGATTTTCTCAATCTAACAAAGTCTTCTTGTTTGAGTGGCTTGGTGAATATCTCGACGACTTGGTCTTGAGACTTCACGTATTCCACTTGCACATCCTTTCTTGCAATACACTCTCTTATGTAATGATAGCGAGTATCTATGTGTTTGCTCCTGTCATGGAATACTGGATTCTTTGCTAGAGCTATTGCAGACTTGTTGTCGACATAAATCCCTGTTGGCTCTTCTTGTGCCATGTTTACTTCTTTCAACAAGTTTCTCAGCTAGATTGCATGACAGACACATGAGGTAGCAGCTACGTATTCAGCTTCGCAAGTAGAAAGAGTGACAATCGGTTGCTTCTTCGACATCCATGTGAATGCAGTGTCTTCCATGAAGAACACAAATCCAGTAGTGCTTTTTTCTATCGTCGGAATCTCCTGCCTAATCATTGTCGCTATATCCAACAAGTTTGTAGTTATCAGAACTTGAATAGAACAAGCCAAAGTTAACAGTACCTTTAAGGTATCGAAGAATTCTTTTGGCGGTCTTCAAGTGTGTAGTTGTGGGATTCTCCATGCAGCGACTGACTAATCCGACAGCATAGAGAATATTTGGTCTTGTGCATGTCAAGTAGCGCAAGCTTCCAACTAAACTCTTGAAAAATGTTGGATCTACACTTTCTCTTTTGTCATGCTTGGTTAGTTTAACTCCGCACTCCACTGGTATGCTTATGGGCTTGCAGTCTTCCATTTTGAACTTTTTCAGTATCTCCTTTGTGTAGCTTTCTTAAGAGATGAAAATGCCTTCTTCGTTCTGCTTGACTTCAATGCCTAGGTAGTATGCCATCAGCCCGATGTCGGTCATCTCGAATTCTTTGATCATCACTCTCTTGAACTCTTGATACATGCTTGGATTACTTCCGGTAAAGATTAGATCATCCACATATAAGCTCACAATCAGAATATCTTCATCCTTGACTTTGACATAGAGAGCATGTTCATGAGGGCACTTGATGAAGTTGTTTTCTTGGAAGTACTTGTCGATGCGACTATTCCATGCTCGTGGCACTTGTTTTAACCCATAGAGGGCTTTCTTCAAATTCAGAACTTTGTCTTCATGCCCTTTGATTTCATAGCTTGACGATTGCTGGATGTAGACTTCTTCTTCAATGACTCCATTTAGGAAAGTGGACTTCACATCCATTTGTTGAATCTTCCATTTGTTTTGAGCTGCCAAAGAAATTAGTAATCGTATAGTTTCCAACCGAGCAACGGGTGCAAATACCTTATCATAGTCGATTTCGGCTCTTTGACTATAGCCCTTCGCCACTAGTTTTGCCTTGTATCTTTCGACCTTTCTGTTGGCAGTTTTCTTTGTCTTGTACACCTACTTGACTCCGATGGCTTTGTGTCCTTTCGGAAGAATAGCAAGTTCCCATGTATCGTTCTTCTGGATTGCTTCAATTTCTTCATCCATTGCTTTCCTCCACTTAGTATCTTGCACTGCTTCTTGGAAGTCAACTGGTTCACAATCAGCAAAGAGACAGAAAAGTGTAGGATTATCGAGTCTTTCAGCTACCTCATAGAGATCTCGTAGACTTCTTGTGCGTGGTACTTCTCTTTCATTTAGGTTCCCACTTGATGATGCTGATGCTGGTGAATTGCCATGATTGGTTGATGTTGGTGAAGCAGGCAGAATAGTGGATTCTTGTTGAACCTCTTTTGCTTGCTCCATCATCCCTTGTTCATTCTCTTCTTCAAAATGAGGAAAGAAGTGAAGATCACCTGCATGAGAGCCAAAATCTCATTCTCTTTCTTAATCGAACGTCACGTCTCGACTAATCACCGTTTTCCCATTGTTTGGATTATACAGCTTAGAGCCTTTTGAATTTGAGTCGTAACCGATGAAGATGAACTTCTCACTTTTGTCGTCAAGTTTCGTCCTCCTCTCGTCTGGTACATGTATATGGGCTATGCTTCCAAAAACTCTTAGATGAGAGATACCTGGCTTTCTTCCACTCCATGCTTCTTGCAGAGTCTTTCCCCACACACTTCTTGTTGGAGACCGATTGGATAGGTAGACAGCACATGATACAGCTTCTGCCCATAACTCCTTAGGCAATCTCTTGCTTTTGAGCATGCTTCGAGCCATGTCAAGGATGGTTCGATTTTTCTTTCCGCCACATCATTTTGCTGAGGGGATCTTGGAACTGTCAAAGGTCGACGAATTCCATTAGCTTCACAGAATTCTTGAAATTCCTTTGAAGTGAATTCTCCTCCTTGATCAGATCTCATGGCTTTGATCTTGCAACCACTTTCTTTTTCTATAGCGGCTTTGAACTTCTTGAATGCTCCAAAGACTTCTGATTTCTGCTTTAAGAAATAAACCCAAGTTTTCCTTGAAAAATCATCAATGAAGAGAAGGAAATAATTATTTTTACCCAAAGAGCTTGGTTTTATTGGACCACACACATCGGTGTGAATAAGCTCGAGTGGCTTCTGGGCTCTTGTGGTTAACTCCTTTGGAAAGCTTTTCCTGAATTGTTTCCCAATAAACATCCTTCGCAAGCTTGATCAGGGCGATTGATGCACGATAAGCCTTTCACCATCTCCTTCTTGGATAATAACTTTAGTCCCCCAAAGTTAAGATGCCCAAAACAAAGATGCCAAAGCCATGATGTGTCTTTGTAACATGTTTTGAGGCACTTTGCAACATCATTTTGAATATTCATAGGAAACATCCTATTCTTTGACATTTTCACCTTGGCAATTAATCTTCCCTTGTCATCTCTAAGAAAAAGGCTATAATTTTTCATGTGAATATCATGACCTTTTTCTAAGAGTTGTCCCAAGCTCAAAATGTTGCTTTTCATATTGGGCACGTAGTAGACATTTGAAATTAATTGGCGATCGCCATTTTTCAGGGGAATTAAGATGTTACCTTTTCCTTTTACATGTATTTTGGATTTGTCTCCAAAAGAAACGTTGCCACTCACCGATTCATTGAGCTTTACGAATATGCTTCTTTTTCTGCACATGTGGTTGCTGGCGCCGGTGTCAAGATACCATGTATAGTCTTGGTCTCCATCATTGTTCTGGCATGCTAGTAGCACAACGCCATTATCTTTTTTCTCTTCTTTCACATAATTGACCTTCTCATCAGGCATGTTGCTTGGAGCTCTACATTCCCAAGCATAATGCCCAAACTTTTGACAATTGTAGCATTGAACTTGAGATTTTTCATACCTCAAGTTTGAGCGCCCTCTTTCACGACCTTTTGTTGAGCTTCCTCCTCTTTCGTAGTTGCTATGGTTGTTGAAGTTCCAACCACGTCCACGTCCATGTCCACATCTGCGACCTCGACCGCGACTTCTTTCGTACTGGCTTCTCTAATTGTCCAAGCTTTCTTCTTTCTTCTTTGGCTGGACATGCTTCTTGAGAAGCTGCTCATCATTCCCTTGCCTCTTCTTATGTTTCTTTTCATATGCTTGTAGCGAACCTATTAATTGCTCTATACTAATTTCTTCCAAGTTTTTAATTTCTTCAATCGTCACAACAATGTGCTTGAACTTAGGGTCCAATGAGCGTAGTATCTTCTCCATAATTCTAACATCTTCCAACTTTTCACCGTTTCTTTTTAATTGATTAGAAACAACTAAGACTTTTGTGAAATAATCAGAGATTGATTCAGACCCTTTCATTTGTAGAGATTCGAACTCACCTCTTAATACTTGAAGACGAACCTTTTTCACTTGTTTGGCTCCTTTGTAAGAGGTTTGAAGCTTCTCCCATGCTTGCTTGGCAAAGGTTGCACTCGAGACCTGCTTAAAGCCATTGTCATCTAATGCTTGGTAGATGAGGTAGAGAGCCTTCTTATCTCTTTTTCTTGAATCTTTCAAACTCTCCTTCTGAGGTTGGGACATAGTAGCTTCATCTTCTGGCTTAGTGTAGCCTTTCTCCACGACTTCCCATACATCGTGTGCTCCCAAAAAGGCCTTCATTTTGATACTCCAATTATCGAAGTTGTTATTGTCGAGCACTAGAACTTGGAAGGCTGCCATAGCGTTGCTAGCCATAGCTCTGGTACCACTTTGTTGGGGCTTAAATAGACTTCACTACTTTGGAGATATTTATCTCACAAAGAAAAATGTAATGCAGCGGAATTGATAGGCAAGAGAAAGAAAGAATACTCAAAGTAGTACACAAGATTTTTATTCACTCACAAACTTAGTACAAGAGGAAACACTCAAACACTCTTAGAAACTTTGTTGCTTCTTCTCACTTCTCACTACTTGCTCTCTTGATTGTTGCAAATGGTGTGGATGCATTCTCCTTTTATAGGCATGGATGGAACCTTGAAGAAGCATGAAAGCATCATGCTAGAGATATCTAGATAATTCCACTACCTTCCTAAGCTAGAATTATCTACATTAATCTTGTATGTTGGTGGAATCCTCACCATTCTTCTAGACTCTTCCACTAACTTGACTTTGCTAGAATTCTCTAGCATATGCATGGATCTTTCTTTATGTATGGGCCGGATCAATTGTCTTGGGCCAAGACAAGATTACATTTCAACACCTTTTACTTCGTGTTCTTTCATCAAATGCAAAGCATCTATCATCAGTTAGCTACTCAGTCTCGTCTCTACTTTGTTAGAGGAGGTTCTAAGTTCAAATCTCATGAATGACACTTGTTGAATAATAGATAGAAAGAGTAATAAATATGTAGGAAAACTAATGAAAATGGCTTGAAAACTTTGAGTTTTAATGATAAGGACAAAATAAAGGGTAAAATGAATAATATCAGGTTTGACTTTTTAGTGTAAAAATGTGGTTTTTTGTTAAAGTGAACAGTACCGCGGACTTTTCATTAAAACTCCCTAAATATATTGGCTGTCATCACGGATTCGTCTCTGTTTTTTTTTTTTTTTCAGCAAACAAATAGAAAACATTTTTAGTGGTGGATAACAATGGAAAGTATTGTATATAGAACACATTGCAGCGTTGATACATGGATGTGAATAAAAGAAGTACAGTGTTAGGGAGATACAGCCAATTACTACTAGCAGAGGCAAATATGGAAAGCCAAAAACTCATGAGTCACCCAAGGCATGAGATAGGGTGGGGTGAAGGGTAAAAAACTCATGAGCCACCCTATTTTACCTGCTTCTCCTAATCTGAACCACAAATCAAACCCCAACTTCGCTAAAATGATTTCAAATCATCTCCAAAATGTGCAGCACCACCAGAAGTTTTAGCACCTGCAGATTCCACCTCCAAGGACATCCATCCTCAAACCCGGTTTCTCTATCACGCAAACAATTTATCAAAAATAACAATTATAGTTTTTTTTTTTCTGTGTTTTTAAAGAATATTAAGTTTTTATGATGTATTGGTTAATCCTTTATAATTTTATCAATCAGTGGTTTGTTGAAGAAGTTGGTTCACAGCTTCTTTTGTAGGCAGTGCAGGAATAGCTCCTTTCTTTTGCACTGTCAGGGCACCACAACCATTGGCAAACAAGAGAGCTTCTCTAAGTTTTTGTTCATCCTGGATCAGAAAAAGAATTCAGATTTTCATTTCCATATAAGGTAACATGTGTTTAGAAATCGAGTGAAAAGAGTTGGGCTCGTTTAAAAGCGGCATAGCCCGACAAGTTTATAGAAAGTCCGCCACAACTCTTGATCACAAAATAGGCTGTTGTGTTGCGGTAAGCATGACACTGAAACCTATTTTGTTGTGCCGGCTCGGCCCATCTATTTTGCTTAGAGGTTAAAAAGAATCTTGCAAATGTATACCTTGTACAGATTAATGTCTGAACCCAAACTGTTGAGTATGGCAGCAACAAAAGAATCACCGGCACCGGTAGTATCAACAGCATCAGTTTTGATACCTGCAACCTTACCCTTAAATTCCTGCACCACGATAAAAAAAAAAAAAAATCAACAAAACCAAACTAAACTGCAGGTAAAAACCAATTAACTATTTACATCATGATGGATGTTAACCTTTGTGTAGTATCTGCAGCCTGCTGGCCCTTCAGTTACAAGCAGAAGCTTCAGATTGGGGTGGTAAAGCTTTTTCAAGACCACCTCATCATCATAAGGATCATCACCTCCGGTTAAGAATTCAATTTCTTCCTCGCTTATCTGCAATTTCAAGAATACATTATAACACGTGGATTAGTAACACTAGGAAACAAGTGTGTGGCCGTTACACTAAACAGCGTAATGCACCTTAATAATTTCAGCTTGGTTCCATATGCTCATAATGCCTTTCTGAGCAGCCTCTGCAGATGGCCACAGTGGCAATCTCAGATTCGGGTCATAAGAGAGTATACAACCGGCCCTTTTGGCAATGTCCATTGCCGCAAGATGAGCTGATCTGCACGGTTCCTCAATCAAACTAATTGATCCGTAGTGAAATATGCCGGCCTACATCAGTCAATTATAATATTGTCAGTAACTTAAGGAATTAAAAGTGACTACTGATTACATTTGGATTTGGGGTTTAATGTTTTACCTTTTTAATTAGATTTACATCAAGTTCTTTTTCCTGAAGAAGCATATCAGCACTTGGGTTGCGGTAGAACATGAATTCTCGCTCCCCGTCACTTCTTAGTGTAACGAATGCCAATGCAGTCCGCGCATGCGGATCAAAACGCATCCCGGAATTGTCCACATTGTTTTCTTTCAGAATGTCAGCCAACATGTATCCAAATTCATCTTTACCAACCTGAGATACAAACGGTAGAGACTTTAGTTTATCTAAAACAGAATGGCAACAAAGATCTTAAAGCTATATAGTATATGTCAATGTAGATGCTTAGCACAGTAAATTTGTTGACCCCAAATTGACAACCACATTGATTGCATATCAAATTCAGTAAGGTTGAAGTATTAACAATATCAATAGTATCCGTGAGATATCCATATTTTGAAAAAGTTCAGTTAACCGCACTACAGAAAAATTCTATATAACACATTTGACCAAAGAAAATAACAGAATGTTGCTAAAGCTAGCTGTAATACAAGGAAGCAGAAAACTAAAAGTGATTTTGGATGATTAGAAAAGCACCTTGCCCATAAAAGCTGCTGAGCCTCCCAATCTTGAAATTCCAACTGCAACATTGGCTGGAGCTCCACCAGCAGCTTTCTTGAAACCATCTGCATCTGCAAGGGAAACTCCGGCACTAGTCGGGACGAAGTCGATCAACATCTCCCCAAAGCAAACAATCAGCTCTGAGTTCTTCTCTTGGATACTACTCTTTTTCTTTAAAGATAACGATTTAGATGAACCTACAAAGAACCAATTGGTTAAGAACTTAAGATCCGTTCAGAAAGCCAAATTTTTCTATCTCAATAATCCAGTGTAAAAGGAGATTATGACTCGTACATTTTTGTGTTACACAAAATTTCAACTCATTGAATTTGACATGATTCATGTAGAAGTCCTAGATATTACATAACCAATAATTTAATTACGATCATATTTTGTAGCTTAGGGAAAATGTTCTGGATCAAATTTTGCCAACACCAATTCTCGATATTGTTAAAGGATCAATTGGCTCTAAAAGCTTAAGCTTTCAAGAAATAGGTCAACAACGTATATCAAGCTAACTTATCTTTCTCGCATGCAGCTTCATCCTCCACGTGAAACATGATCACTAGATCCCAAAAGCTTAGCTTTCAAGAAAATCGGCCAACAATGTACATCGAGTTGACAAATATCCTATCGTTTACCTCGAGAATTCATTTGGGTACAAATGAAATCCAAGATTTAACACAGTAACACAATTTTTCACAAGAATCAAAGGGGGCATCAAAGAAATTAAAGAAAGTGGAATTATTAATACCAGAAAGAGAGGAAGAATTCCTAACAAACTTGAAGCTGCCCTTTTTGGATCGCTCCAGTGTGACAGGGAAGCAGCTGCATCCTGTTGGAGCCATTTAATTAAATTAATCAAGAGTTGTGTTAATTTTGCTTTCAGACCAAACGTTGATTAAAAAGTTGAAAACTTGAAACGCAGATCAACGTTGGTCCTTTTTACAAAATCTCACAACTCAACTCTGCATATTCATACAATTAGAATTTTGATTAATTAAATAATCCAGAGTTTATATATATAACACTTTTGCGGGATCATTAGTTTTGCTTTTATTAGAATGTTTCAATATCTCCAACTGAATTCTCTAATTTTGAGCTAATATTTTGCTTAAATATCTCCAAAACCATCTTTTTACAGTGACCACTTCAACCATAGAGTCCCTATTTTAGTTGGTGATGAGTTTTTTTGGTTATCTTTTGATATCAAAATGTGGGTTGGCTCAACTTTTTAATGTTTTAATATTGTGTTCTTGGCTGTTAATTATGTTTTTTGTTTTGTTGTTTGGTTAACTGTTGGGTGTTGGATTCTAAATAGATAGCGACCAAGTCTTTTGTTATATGTTACAAAAATGGCCATGAGCCAACCTGTTGTAGGCTGATATATTCTCTGTACAAAGATAATATCAAGCAAATAAATAATTAACTTTTTTGACGCTTAGTATTGTGGTCCAATGATTCTTGTTCACTTGCAAGTCGGAGTTGTTAATGTTGACTCCGTAAATGGCAACTTCGATACCAAATTATTATGACATGTCCATTGCTTTACTTAATCCAAATCTTTTACCTTAGTGTAAAAGAATAGATAGACCAATTTTCATACAAAATTTGCGAATCATGTGATGTGTCACCAGTACTAAATAAGCAAGTTAATCAATATTTAAGTAACAATTTAATTATCAACAACCAAATTATATGGTTTACAAAATATGGTTTAAATAGGTGATTCCTAGCATTACACTGGGTAAAATATATCCTCGTTTATAAAAATGTATAACAAACTACCTTAGTTGAACTTGGTTAAGCGTAAATATAGTCTGGACTATTGAGTAGTCTGACTTTATGTCCATTAGATTGGCAAGTAAACAAAAATAATTTTTCCTCAACTCAGTCTTTAATAGTTCATTACACTATTGATTAGTCCGGATTATTGAAGAAAAATTGACTGAACTTGCAGAAAAGTTGAACTAATACTTTAATTAGATGTACTTGCAAAAAAGTTGGGTGCCAATATAGGAATGAGGAACAAATCACATTCGTTCATCGTACATCGTGCGGTCAGAAATCATTGTAAATTTTTTTATTTAAAATTAAATATAAACAGTATTTGACGAAAACTGTCCACACGATGTACAATGAACGGATGTGATTGGAGGACTCTCTCCCAATATAGCACTTAAAGTAATTTGACCTATAGTTTCAAGACATGAGTTGGATTCCCGTCGCCTCCTAAATTAGATCGTCGAGCAAATTTTAGTTCGTTATAGAGGCAAGGTCTCTAGTCAAGTTTACACGAAATACATACCAAATTAATTGGTAAATATTCTTGATCAAGTGTTAAAAAACCTTCCTATGATACAATGATACCTCAAATCTCACATGTGATGGGGAGTTCTTCGGTACCTAAGTAACGATTAGAAGTCCAATAGTCAACTTGAACTAGCAATCATGGATGAACTCTTAGATCGTAAGTTCATAACTAAAGGCACTACAGAAAAACTTAGCCAAATGACAACAACGTACTCCTTATGACAATGCAATATCCTCTTTGTTACAGAATAACGTTGATTTTTAGATAACCAAACACGATCGAGTACTCTTTTGTGAAACAAGTACTAAAAGAACTAAACCCTCTGTCGTCAATTTTGTTAATTAGGTACATGAATAGCATTCAATTGAATGGTCCTTGACAATCCAACCGTCAAGGCCCAAAAATACAAGCAATTATCAATAAATAAAAGAAAAAAGAAAACCAAATAAGAATAAGGAAACACAGGAATCTAGAAGTATGATTACAAATTTACAAACATCTCTTGTCAGTCATACTTAAAGTAAATATATGTTGGCAGTATTACAATTCTTAAAGCCATATATTCTTGCAAAGTATAGATATTAGAAAATATAATTTATGATGCTGCAATAATAGATAAAATATGAAATATATATCCTTCATTTTTGGTATTGAAGGTTTTCAGAGAACCCATCCTTGGATGAAGTTGGTCTCACCAGTCAAGCTCCTTGGAATAGATGATCCCTCAGCAGGATGATACGGATGGTACCTGTTCAAAGTTCAAACAAACAACTATTTTCAGTTTCACATCAAATATTTCTACCATTACTTTTTCATACTAGTAAATTAACCAACGATTTTTTTAGAACTAAGGCGAAGGGATGATTGAAATGAAAACTATATGGATGCAAAAAACAACTCATTCCGCGGCTTAAGCTCGGAAACAAGCATTTTCGCATAAGGATACTGTTGCACCCTTTTTGCATGGGTCGAAACAGGTAAAATGTGGTTTGAGCTGAGTCAAGATGAGGAGGAAATGGTCTTTAATTCTTCAAAAGATAAATATAGGATGAAGGGATAAGATATATATTTTTTTAAACTCTAATTGCCAGTATTTTTGTAGTTGAAGTTGTTCCAGAAAAACAATGATCAGATCAGTGAGTTTAGCTGAAAACACAAAAGAGAATTGATGAAATACCCCATTTGTATGACAGGTTCAGGTGTACAGTCCATGGGGTTGGTTTGTGAAGAATGCAAAGAAAAGTTGCTACTTCCAGCCGCTGCATCTGAGCTCCACATGTTTTGAATGACATTCAGATTCTGCCCTTCTGCCTCAAGCTGATCAAATTAAAGCACATAAACAAAATACTAATTATGATTAATTAGATTAATGCCACAAATATGGAGGAATATTGCTGTATAATTAAATAGAGAGGAATATCAGGATCGTATATACCTTGACCCTCAGCTGCTTGTTGAGGTCTCCAAGGTGACGCTCCTGCCATATTTGAATATTACAAAACAATTGGATGCTAATGACAAACTTAGAACACAAAACTTTGCAAGAAAAACATAACAAATTATAGGTCAATAACTATTTGGGTTTGTGAAGGTTATACAGCTAATTTAATCATGAAAATGGTGTGTTATTTTAGTCGAAATGTTTGTCAGTTTACATTGCAGGAAATCTAAACATGGACCAATCATAATCCTAACTCATCCATCACCACATACATATGCAATGACATGACAATAGAGGGACGCTGAAGAGCTCTTTATACGTAGAAGATGGTTAATTAACTGTATATAATTAAATTCAGAATTCTCTTACGTACCTTTTTGCGCAGGTCCTCCATTTGTTCAATCATAAGCTGTGTCTACAATCAAGAACAATCCAAATGTATTAGTCCAAATTAATTTATTTTGCGATTTAACTAGCTAGTTAATTAATTTAACATTGTGAACTTAATATATATATATATATATATATATATATATATATATATATATAGATATATATGTTCATGTAAAAAGGAATGAAATCTGTATCATGGGTTGGTTGCCAATCTACATTTGATTTCAAAATTTAATTAGGCAAAAAATATTAGGCATTAATTTATTTTACAATATTTAGAACATATATAATTTGTGTAGAATATATATATATATACACACACACACACACACACATAAAAAAAAAAAAAAAAAAAAAATATATATATATATATATATATATATTGTGATATCTGAGTGTCACTAGATGATGATAGCTATAGAAATAGGACCGTCTAGTTGTGTTTTTATATTTGTGATCGGCGTACAACCAAAATTAGAAGAAGGATTAGCTTTCAGTGCTCTAAATTAACAATTTAATTCCCTAACGATTGCAAGTAATTAAGTATTAAGCGTCACCTTCCTTTGTCTGGTTTGTGCAAGTGCTCCTTCAAGTTGTTTTTCAAGATTTTGCAACTCCTTCACACTCAGTGGTCCAAGATCTTCACCAAGCAAATGCCTTAATCCAAATGCATGATCACAAAAATAAACCAAGGTTAGCAAATAATTTATGGATATAAAGTTATTGATATGTTAATTTCTAATTAGTTACAGCATAACCTTTGAGTTCGCTGAAGGGATTCATATTTAGCTTTCAGTTTTGTGACTTCTTGGTACCAGCTCTGCATGATTGTTAGCCATAAACAAAAACAAAACATAGTTAAGATCATTCACGAAATTAGCTTGAACTAACTAAACTATTAAACCCATGAAATTAATTGCTGATTTGAGTGCATTACAAGTTTAACCTAAAGGAAATTACTTCTGATAAACAGTAGAAATTAGCTAGAATAACCTGTGTTTCACGTTCAATGCTATTCTCAGGTGGAGTGAAGGAGCAACGTTGGTATCGTTCAAGGGTTTTGCTCATACTGCCAATAGAAAGTATAAATTATTATTATTATTATAATTATTTTGTGATAAATGGTAGGTGATCAAATTAAGAAATTATTCCCACAGCAAATTCATCAGATCAGCATATAATTTTTTATCCCAAGAAATTCACTCAAGTACCATCTAAAGTACACTAAGATATATAAATTTTTTGGAGCAAAAGTTACATAGTATTATCTAAATAAATGTTCTGGGCTGATTATGTAAAATGAACATATATTTTAGTGAAACTATAAACTAAAAACTTGGCAGGAAATGAACTTTAAAATCAATGAAACAATAAACTCTCTAACTTCTTTACACACACATACATTAATGAGTTAATGACTCAGATTCTTGTTGAGGTTAAAGATCTTTAGTTAAGATCACCATAAAATAAAAAGTAAAATATATAGATGTTGATTACATATGCAATGTGATATAGATATGTACCTATTTATGCAAGTGTTGCAGCTTTATAGATATGCTTGAATCTGTTTTCCCTTTATTTTAATGAAATTTTTTAGAACCCAGCTTCAAAATCTATTTCCAGAATGTAAAAACTGAAAAATAAACCTTTAAAACCAATAATGGATTTTTTTTTTCTTTCTATTTAATATATGGTCTGTGACATTACTTGTACAGAAGAGAAGGGAAATACTAAACAGGTAAGGCAAATCTATAAACTACTGGACTGATGATATCATCAGATGATTCACAATTGTAGGCAAAACTTGACACATGAAAGGCTTTTAGAGAGAGAGAGAGAGAGAGAGAGAGAGAGAGATTTTCACCAAAGTAGCAAAACAAAACAAAAATCTACTGGGGAACCTGGGGGATAATTGATTAACATGGAAATATGTATCATCAGCTATATATATATATATATATATATATGCAGTTGAACATGCACCATTTAATGTACCATTCCCGAATACGGATCATACAATTTTAAAGTTGGGACTGAGATCCAGTTTGTCAAACCAAATCCTTGACTACCAGTTCTTGTTAAACAAAACCTGGGATTCTCTTTCCAGGAAAAGGCAAACTTAGGTAACATCTTTTCTGAAAAATCTTCTGATTCAAATACAAATATTTTTTTTCTTGGCCAAAAACCATGAGTTTACCTAAGAATGAGCAATAACCCTAGCTGGGTTCTTTAAATAAAAAAACTAAAATAATATAAATTACCATAGATCTGAAGGACTAAAGATCTGTAGAACAAGGTTTCATCTCTCTTGAGCTAACAATGGTTGATTTGCCACACAGCTTCAATGCCAGCTTTTATATATATATATATATATATAGAGAGAGAGAGAGAGAGAGAGAGAGAGAATCCCAATGAACCTAGGGATCAAAATATGAAACAAAGAGACCAACATAATGTATCCGGGCACAAGGATAGGCTTGATTTTGCTCCCACCATAGAGGCCACACAGAGAGAGAGAGAGAGAGAGGACCATAGGCTTTTAATAGATGAGGACAAGTTTCTATGAACCTTGGATACTGTGTGAGAGAGCGAGAGAGCCTAGTTCTTGCACAAAGGTAAAAGAGGAGTTTCCTAGTCAGGTGATTGCTGCAGGTGCCGGTTGTTAACTGAACCTCCCCACATGGTATGAGCTGAGAAGTTGTTCTCACATATATGAAAGAACAAAAAAAGGAGCGACATCCATATACCCAGAAGAGCTTAGCTAACTAGAGAGCTTGAGAGAGAGGGGGGATGAAACGTGTCGATCTGTGATTGGGGAAGCTGGGTAATGATCCCTCTTACATAGAGAGACGCAGAAAACCTGCCTTTGTTTGATCCAAAAAACGTTTAGAGCACAAGGAGTACCAGAAAATAAAAGATTGCTCAGCAAGAGAAGGAGAGATGTCAGAGACAGGTGTTGGAGAAAGAAAGTATTTTTCATACATACAATGGACAGCACAGACAGAAATATATCAGCTACAGAAACAAAAACAAAGGGTGGGGGAACAACTAAAGTCATAATCATTGAAGAAGTAAAACCAACAAATCTGAAACTAAAATTCCAAGTAAAAGCAACAAATCTGTATCCAAAATTCCAAAAGAAAAATTATTTTTATGCAACAACAAAGAAATGAACTCTCTGAGAGAAACAAATGCAGCAAAAAGTATAGGAAAAAAAGAAAAAGAAAATCTAAGAACTACTCATTACCACACAACCCAAAAAATTAGCAAAAAATCTCCTTTTTAATTTATTTAGAGAGAGAGAGAGAGAGAGAGAGAGAGAGAGTACCCAGCGCTGGCAAACTCATAGAGCTTGCCACGGCTAGAGAAGATGATAAGGCCAACCTCAGCATCACAAAGCACAGAGAGTTCATAGGCTTTCTTCAATAAACCATTTCTCCTCTTTGAGAAAGTCACCTGCCTGTTAATCTTGTTCTCTATTCTCTTCAGCTCCACTCTCCCCCTCCCCATATTCTCACCTCTTCAATTTCCCCTTCTTTTTGCAAATTAAATATGAAATCTATATTGTGCTTTTTGTCTCTGTATTTGTTATCCCATATGCATAGAGAGAGAGAGAGAGAGAGAGAGAGAGAGAGAGAGAGAGAGAGAGAGAGAGAGAGATATTCCTCTTCTCTAGGATTTGGGGTTACACAAAAATGGGTGATTTGGTGAACTGTCTGTGAGGAGTGGGAGTTCAGAAGGGGGCTAGCTAGCTTTGTTTATATAGAGATGGGATGTTTTAGCAGAGAGAATTCAAGTGGCGCATGAAACATCTTCTAATTCTATTACAACAAAATACGGAAATCCGAGTAAACATCTTCCTTTTTGCTCCTCCTTTTTTTCGTATTTTAATAATTTTAAGCAATTTTACATAATTATTGATAAGTTTGTTGACAGAGCATATTTGTGCCCTAGGGAGATGAATATTATTAACCAAACCCACGCGCCCAATTTGATGTGGAGGAGGAGGAGCTATACAGTTATGTGTACATGGATGATATGTATCACATTCACTAGGGCCAACTCCATTACATGAAAGATACCGGAACAAGAAAATTGCACTTAGGTGTTAGATTCTCTAACCCCTAACCCTAAATAATGTAAATTGGAAAAGTTGATGAGTGGCGGGAAGAAAGTACTTTGGTGCCTATCTACAAGAATAAAGGCGACATACAAAATTCCATGAATTGTAGGAAAATTAAGTTAATGAGTCATACAATGAAGCTCTAGGAGAGGGTAATTAGCATAGATTGTGATAAGAGGCACGAGTCTCAGAGAATCAATTCGGATTCATGTCAGTGCACTCGACTATGGAGACAATCTATCTCTTACGAAAATTGATGGAACGCTATAAAGATATGAAAAGGGATCTGCACATGGTTTTTATGGATTTGGAAAAAGCATATGATAGGGTCCTAAGATAATTTTTTGGAGGATTCTAGAGAAGAAAGGAGTACGAGTAGCATATATCCAAGCAATAAGGGATATGTATGATGGAGCAAGGATTGCAGCAAGAACTCATGGGGAACAAACTAAAAGCTTTCCAATAACCTTAGGTTACAGCAAGGCTCAACTTTAAGTTCTTACCATTTTGCATTGGTAATGGATGAGTTAACGAGACATATTTAAGATGATAACCTATAGTGTATACTCTTCCCAGATTATATAATGTTGATAGATGAAACGCATGCGAGAGTACATGCGAAGCTTAACCTTTGTCAGGAAGTGTTGGAAGCTAAAGTTCTTTGCCTAAGTAGGTCCAAGATAGAGTATATGGAGTCAAGTTCCGTGGGAATAGGGGGCCCAAATAAGATAGGGTTAAGGATTAGAGATCAGGAAGTACCAAAAAGTGAATGTTTATGTTATCTTGGATCTATCTTGCAGAATAACGGAGAATTAGATGGAGATCTTCACCAAGATATCGTAATTTGATATAAATTAGGGTATCCTTACTTGGCAGACAAGTAATATATTTAATGGACTTAGAGCTAATGGAGTCTTGCTAGACTACCTAGGCATGCGGTAGTTCGATCTGAAATACCCATGTAACTCCGATCTCTCTATGAGGGATTGTCGATCACTCTAACCACCTTGAGTGTCATGTCGTGGGCCTAAAAAATCAGGATCCCACATACACCATCTTAAAAGTAGTCATTAACGGTTTCGTATCATTGAAATCTACTATGGATCTCAAAAACCCTCTGAATCCCATTTCCAATGAATCCTCCAATTCAATCACAACCTTGATATCTGCTGAGGCATATCACATTCTTCTTGATACAGAGGTTTTTGGAATCCCATGAGCCTAGACCCAATAGATGGCTCTATCCAGCAATATATCATCCAATGAGTGGTATAAAGGCTATAGCTTTACAATAACGGTATAGCTTTACGATGGATTCATGTGGTTCTTGATTTGCAATTAACTGGCCAACGAGTTTAATGGAGTTTTCTAAATGCTCGTCAAAGTCCAAACTATCCTCAACAAATAGAGATAAATTCAAATTCCTCCTTATCTAGGTTAGAATAGCTATCCGCCATTTATGTATAAGGACATGATTTAGTTATTAATCATATCTTAATACCTTTGACTTTTCGCGTTATTGTGGGCATGAGAGCTTTATGAGATTATATTCAATAGCTCACGTCTTCAAGAGGGTTGAACTATGCATGGAATAAATGTGGGCCTCACTAATTTAATGAGGGCATCTTCATCACTTGCAGATAGAAGTACACGAGCAGCTACAAGATTTATCGAATTACTTTTGGCTCCATAGTAACGCCCCAAAAAAATATTTGGACATGTGAGTTGAAATGATAACTTATTTGAATTTATTCGGAAGGTAAACACAGTGGTAGGCCAAAACAAAGCCATGGTTAATCACAACTCTATTAACCACAATGAATTTCCTTATTTGACACTTACTCATAGAATTTATTTCGGCTGGATCGAACTTTAGAGTTAGATTGCCTATGTACCCTATGAAGATCAAGCCAATCGTAGTTCAGAATCATATTTAAACCGTTCATCACTATACATGAAACACTTAAATCTTAAAATAATTTCTTTGACATAATCTATGCTGATAATAGAGTATACCTATTTGACAAGAAATTTCAATAATTAGAAGAAATTAGGGATTTACCTCAAAGGATTTCAATTACATACTTAATCACCAAATTCAATCAACAATCCCTTCAATTCACTCAACAAACTCAAGTATAGGTAGAAAGCTCGTGAGGAGAGGATCAACTTTCTTTCTTGGACCGAGACCAAATTTCGGTGAAATTGTTGGAATCGACAAAAATCCGCCGGAAAACCATTACTCTTCTAGGCTCCAACAATTGATTTGTCTTTTAACTTTCTCTATATAATCATAAAAATGAATAACTAAATCATATATCTAAAAATACAAGGGATATTACAATAATGACGACAATGGTGATTGCGATGATGATGTGGGTGCTAGTGATGGCGATAACGAATGTGGTAGCGATGGTGCTTATGGTTACTATGGTGGGTGGTAGGTGTTGGGTGGTGACGCAATGATGATAGTGAGTGGTGGTGGCATCAGTGACAGTGATAATGGTACGTGGTGGTGATGGCTATTCATGGTTTAGTTTTTTTTTTTTAAATCTCACTCTTAAAAATTTGGAAATGAAAACTATTTGTATGAAATTTAAACTTAGGAATAGGACATTCAAATTCCAAGTTTTTTCCACATGAAATTCTAAATTTTTATATTTATGAATCGAAACAAGTGAATTTGTGCATGTCAATTTATAAATTTTGACTTTTTTCCAAATTTCAAATTTATTTCCCTCATACCATCTCCAACTCTTGACTTAAAATCTAAAATTTTTAGCCAAAAAAAAAGGTTTTAACCCAAAAACAGTTTTTCTCCTCTAACCCTTATGGGTTAAATTTTTAGCCCCAGAGTATTAAAGAATGAATTAGGATATTTTTTCTTAAAGTAATTTAAAAAAATAATAATATTGTAGACTATCCTAATTTAATTTTATGAACATTTTAACAAAAAAAATATTTAGATTCTGATAAATATTGAAAAATCTTTAAACCGACACCATGAAACTCGTGGAACACTATGAAAGAATATGAAACACATAAAATAATTTTTTTAATTACTTTAGCCGTTAGATCTTTTTTTACTGTTAAATTTGATCATATTAGATCTTAGCCGTTGGATTCAATGAATTTATAAATATAAAGCTGAAAAAAAAATACACATATATGGTGCCCAGCTCCACTAACTCAAGAGGAATTCTGGGCTAAATTTGCCCCATAAATGAGTTTTAGGTTAAAACTCATATTTGCCCAAAAAATTAGAACAAGTTGGAGTAAATTTAGAACATAAAATTTAAATTTTACTCCAAGGATTGAAGTAAGTCTCATCCAAGTAAACATAGTACAAAAGAAAATCCGGACATGTAGGACACACAACACGTTCATTTATCCGATAATTTGTCCTCTTGAATAAAATGAGGTTGCATCAAACATGAAACGTCTGCTCAAATGATATTTTTAATTTCTTCGGGATAAATTTCACAAATTGCCTTTTATTGGGTAAATTCCAGGAATAAATATGTATGATTGGTCATATATATATATATATATATATATATATATATATATATATATATATTCAGGAAATTAAGGAGTTAGCTAATCCTAAATTTACAAAATTTTGGTTGTCTTTCTCTCTTTCTTGGGTTGATGAATTGTCAGTATCAGTCAATTTCTTGCTTGGAAGATATGATAAAATTAGACCTAAACCCTAATGGTCTTACAAGAACAAGAATAGAAACGGTTATGCATAGTCGGCTAAAATATTTTGACAAACCTGCAAATTTTGATTCTTGTTGCTGTCCTAGTAGATTATGAATGTGATTGTGTAAATCCTAGTGTATCTAGGGATATCTTAGAATATTCCTTTTAGTAGATATTATTCTATTAGAGTTGTAATTCTATTAAGGTAAGGATTTAACCTATCATACTATACTATCATAAATAAAGGTACAATGGGATGATACAACACATACCTCAGAATGACATCTCTCTCATCTCTCTCTCTCTTGCCGCCGGCCCTCTCCCTCTCTAGTCCTAAATACAATTCAGTAAATTAAGTATACAACACGTTATCAGCACGCTCTTGTCATAAGCTAAGGAGCTAAAGAATCGTAGGAGGATGCTCTTTTCTACACAATCAAAGGCTTAATTGGTTTTCTGGCAATCAGGTTTTTTTTTTTTTTTTTTTTTTTTTAATAAATTAAGATATTTGAAACGACCTTGAAGCATAAAAACATTCCCCATGAGGCATGAACCCCATATATTTATATTTTCCCTTCAATTATATATATTGCATATGTGTTCATATTTTTGTCAATATATATTTGTTCATGCAATACGTAATTATGCTATGTGGAATTTGTGAGTCAAAATATCAAAATTAATTTAGAAGCGATTAGGGTTTTTAACCCTAGAATTCAAAAGAAAAAAAACTAAAAAAATTAAGCAGTGGCTCCACGCCGCAGCGCTGAGCCGACATGGATGGCTTGCAACCACGCCATCACTAGGACGGTGTTGTTTCGACACCATGGACCATCATGTTGTAGCCCCATGGGCTTGTTGCCCCTATACAAACAACCAGGCTTTGGCCTGTGTTAGGTTCCAAGTGGGCCTGAAGCCCCGAGCTCATCAGCAGGCCTGCAGCCTTGCTGGGTCATCTCCTGCAACCTAGCCTAACCTGCCAGCAAGCCTGTGATGCTTGCTAGGCTTTGTCCTAGCTTCGGCCCACCTACAAAAAGCCTTGGCTTGTTGGGCTTCGCCCTCTGTCAAGGCC